TGAAGATACTTTCATCACTAACAGGGATGCACATGAAGACACTTTCATCACTAACAGGGATGCACATGAAGACATTTTCATCAGTCAAAATCAACAGCTTTAGTTTTCACCCTTCTTCCTCACATCATGTGGTAAGAAGCTACAACTTAAACTAGGCAGGGATTACTCAAGATATTATTGTAGTTTAATAAATGGTCAATAAACACCACCAGGTGCATCCTTCATTTGTGATTTCATCATTCAGTAACGATGGGCACAGGTTTCTCTGTTTACTTGTATTTGTAACACTGATAAAGAAATAATTTCCCTGGCCACAAAAAAATTTCTCTTTCTTCTTTCTTTTTCTTTGTTTTGTTTTGGAGACACGGTTTCGCTGTGTAACCCTGTCTGTCCTAGAACTCACTCTGTAGACCAGGCTCACTTTCAACTTGGGAAATCCACCTTCATCTGTCACCCTAGTGCTGGGATTAAAGGCATGCACCACCACCACTGGGCTTTATTTTCTAACTAATAGTATTTTATGAGTACATGAGGATTTCTTTATCAAACCACCTACATCTCTGAGAGAGCTTTCCTTGCCTCTTCCTGATTACTTTAGAGGGGAAAAAAAAATAAAGAATATGTAGCAGGATACTTATTCTGCTACAATGTAGTCACAGTGGAGCTCTGTGATTAGGCAGTAGAAGAGGAGGTGGAGCTGGGAGAGAAAGAGAAGAAGGGGAAGGGAGAGAAAGAGGAAGAGGAGGGGACAGATAGAGGAAGAGGAGGAGAAGGAGGCTGTTGTGGTAATATTTTAAAGCGGCGGCACCCAATCTGGCTTGTTCTTAATCAGCTGCCATCTTCCCAACTAGACAAGGCCTGTGGCCACAGACTTCGGAGGAGCTGTTCAGCTCAGGCACCCAGAGACACCGGCCCTGGCACCCAGGGGCGCCAATATGGGAGAAGGCTCTGTCAATCTTCCATGCTGTCTCCAAGGCTGCACTGAGCCCAGACCATCCTGCCATCCACACAGTAGCCGGTAGAAATGAGACTGTAATGAGCTGGTTAACTAAAACAAAACAGGTATGGACATAAGTTCAAGACCTCTCTGTACTATGTGTGTGCGTGTGCATATGTGTGTGTGTGTGTGTGTGTGTGTGTGTGTGTGCATGTGTGTGTGCACGCCTGCGTGCGCATGTATGCATGTGTGTAATTAAAGAAAGAGAGGCCATGAATTTGAAAGACAGCAAGGCAGGAAAGGTTCACATGGGAAGGGTCAGAGGAAGAAAAGGGAAAAGAAGAAATGACATACTTGTATCTTAATCTCAAAAGATAAAGCTTTTTCAAAAGCAGGTATAAAAAAGCTATGGAAGTCTACTATCTTGTAGCTAAATTAAAAATATAAAAAACAAATTTGAAAGGCAACACCCCATACAGGTTATACAAGCAACAGGTTCTAGCCATAACAGGTCACTAATTAAAAGTTCCAGGGAGAGGTACAAGGTACTTCCATAGAAGCTGCTGTTCAGGGAGGTCCCAGAAAGACTCCAAAATAAGAGCCCCTTCTATTCCTCTTGGGTGCTGTGCTGGCTAGTTTGATTTCAACTTGACACAAGCTAAAGTCCTTTGGGAAGAAGGAACCTCAACTGAGGAAATGCCCCACCAGATTGTCCTGCAGGATAGGTATGGTGCATTTTCTTACTTAGCGATTGGTATGGGAGGCTCAGCCCACTGTAGGTGATGCCACGACTGAGCAGGAGGTCCTGGGTTCTACAAGGAAGGAGGCTGAGCAAGCCATAAGGAGTGAGCTAGTAAGCAGCATCCTTCCACGACCTCTGCATCAGCTCTAACTCCAGTGCCTGCCCTGACTTCCATTCATGAAGGACTGTGAATATAAGCTGAAATAAACCATTTTTCCCCAAAGTTGCTTTTGCTTATGGTGTTTTATTATAGCAATAGAAGAAACCCTAACAAAGACAATTATCAACCAAAACTAGATAAGATACCACAGACCCTGATTGCAAAATAGAGGAACAGAGCTGGAACTGAGCTAGAAAGTGTCCCCAGTGCTGACTAGCTCTCGAAAGTGCTGGAAGGTGCTTTGCAGGCTTCTGGGGAAGAAAAGCATCAACGGTCTCACCTAGTTACAAACTCCATGACTATAATACCATGCATCTACCTGTGTAATGAAAGCATGATTGCTAGGGGGTAACCAACTGCTGCCATGTTAGCTCTGGATCCATTCCTAGTACTGACTGTAAACCAGTCAAATATACATGCTTGGGAAAGCACAGGCCCTAGCAGCTCCATGAGTCCCACAACAAAACAAACCGTCATGAATGTGGGAAACAGTTGTATGGAAAAGGGGAGCTGACAGAGATCCCAGGAGTAAAGTCAAAGTGGGGGAGAATAAGAATACATTCTCTATGTGTATAAAATTGTCCAAGAACAAAATTAATTAATTAAAGATGCATAATTTCTTTCCAAGGTAGTTTAAGACCTGAGAAGTTCTGGTGGGGTGATCAAACATCCCTCATGTAGCACGTCAAAGACAAACGCTCTGCCTCGGCATAGCACAGCAATGTGGGTTGGACAATGGCCTTCACTCTCTGGAAAAGGACAAAGAAAACACACGACTCAGTAAAGCTACATTCAGCCAAGAAATGATCGTTACTCTAATATTTTTTTTATCATAAATTATAAATCTTAAATGAAAAATTTATCATATGTGATATGTAAAATGTATCTCCTAGACAAAATGCTCATGGAAGAGAACAAGGAGAATCCACTAATGAACATGAAGCTCCAACCAGTAACAGTAAATCCTGGTGTACTACTTCACAGCAAGGTAGCCAGACATACAACCATGAACTGCATATGAAATTAAACTAGAAGAATGGACTTTCAATTTACCATAAAGAGTGGCAGATGTTTGAGGAGACAGACATGCCTAACTTTATTTCATGATGTAGACATATAGTGACATCATACAGTAATTAGTATGTATAATATACAATTTTATGTTTATATTTTTAATTAGAAAACACAATTTAAGGAAAAGCTGTAAGACTAAAGTTATAGATCAGTGGTAGACGGCTTGCCTATGATGCCTGAGACCAAGTATGGTCCCTATTACCATAAGAAGAAATGATAAGCTGACAGCATTTCAGTCACTATGATATAAATACATACTCTTGAAACTTGTCCATGTGAATCTTGAACGCATTAAGTTTCAAGTATTTGTGTTACACAGAGTGCTGTTAGAGTTCTTAAGTTTTACTTAAGAGACAGAAATAAGAAGGGACAGCTGGGCAGTGATGGAGCATGCCTCTAATTCTAGCACTCAGGAGGCAGAGGCAAGGGGATCTGAGTTTGAGGCCTACAGAATGGAAGTTCCAGGACAGACAGGGCTACAAAAAGAAACCCTGACTCGAAAAACCAACCAACTTGTTGCCACAGCAAAGGGAGATGCTAGAAAGCTTTCAGCAGAGAAAATCCTATGCCTACGTGTCAAGGGGAAGAGCACTGCAATCCACGTCCCTGCTCCTTGTCTCTCAGACGAGGCAGTGGAAAGGGATGAAGGATGAGATGCACAGGACCACAGAACAAAGTTTAGTGGTTGGAATGTAGCCACTGCTTTAGACACATGATGTTTTGACATTTCTTTATCTAAATGAGGAACAAGCACCTCTTGATAACCCCACCACCTCTTACTATCCTCTACTTCCTCAGTATTTAGGAGATAAATGTTTTTGTTCCTCAAATACTCCTAAGCCATTTCTTCTCTCCGACCTTTTAGACACCCCCAGATCCTTTTACATTTCCCACACAGGCCCTTTACTACCATCTTCTATTGACCTCCTTTCCAAGACATAGAGCTTGAAAAAATAGACTTATCCCCATTTAATCAACAAATACCTGGGAGAGTGTGTGTCAGGAGTGGGGTGCCCCACGCTGAACTGATGGGGACATGTGATCTGAGTGAGATGGAAACTATAAGCCAGGGAAACTCTGCAGACAGCACTGCCCAGGGGGAACAATAACTGTAAACGTATCAGCACAAAAATGACCTGCAAAATGCCAAAGAGCTCAGTGAAGCATCAGCAGAGAAGGGGCAGAGTAGTACATCAGTGTGAGGCTAGACCACCTGTGACTCAGAAAGGGCCTGAAGTTAAGTAAGATGGAAAGGAAGCTAAGGGAGGTTTTACTCAGAAGAGTGGTAATGTGATCTGACCAGAATGAATGGATCAGTGGAGAAAATCTGCTTCTGTTAGTAGAAATCTGTTAGTAGGTAATGAAAGGGGTTCATGTGAGAACAACCTAACAGTGTAAGGTTGGTGGGTTTGTTATTTTTGAAGCAGGGTTTCAGTATGGAACCCAGGCTTGCCGTGGACTCCCGATCCCATCTCAGTCTTCAGGATACTAGACTACGGGCCTGCATCTTCATGGTTTACAGGGATGATGGTTTTGACTGTGATGTGCCACTTGCAGGAAAAAAAAACAAAAACAAAAACAAAAAAAAACAGAGGTAACTGTTTTTCTTTTAGTATTAGAAATAGCACAAATTGGAGCAACCCCCTAAAGCAAGAGAACTGGTAACACAATAGGAATGCAGCGTAAGGAACAAACAAGAAGTGGATCTAACCCACAGCGGCTGTCCTCAGGACCAGAGACGTTGGCCAGGGTTAGTTTTGAAGTTTCTTTTGTCTGTGGTACTGTGGGCTGGAGCTCAGGGCCTCCCACCTCTGAGCTACACCCTAGCTTATTGTCCATCTACTTTTCAAAAAGGAGCGTAAACTACACAAATGTACAATTACATACAGTAGACAAAACAGGGTAGACAAATATGTGGGTAAGTATTTTAGGGCTGATGAAAAAAATTATCCCTGATTGACTTGAAACAACAAATTTACTATATCTTAGAGGTTGAAGGATGAATCTGAAGTTCCCTTTTCTGTGATGAAATGAAGGAGAGGCTCTCTTCCTTCCAAAATAGAGAGACTATTTCCTTCCTCAGCTCAGGAGCCCCTTCTTCCACCTTCAAAGCCATCAAGGGGAGGGCACAGCCTGCCAGTGCTGCTACCTCTGGTTTTCTTGTGAGAACCCACAGACTCTCAGATCTGTGTGATTAGTTCAGCATAACCTCATCTCCAGGTCAACTCTTTAACAACCTTAACCCCTGCTTGCTGGGGACTGGGGCACGGCATCTTTAGAGGACCATGATTTTCCCTATGTAGATAGGTTGGCCATTCTGATTATGTGAGTTTTTACTAAGTAACTGTCAGCAACTGGAAGGTTTAATTATCTTGGGACACGCTGCCTGTTTTTTTGGGGGGGGGGGGGGGAGAGCTGCACAGGAAAGAAAACTAAACAAAATACAAGACACATGACATTCACTGCAAAAAGGATAAAAATGTCATCCTTCCCTCACCTTGTGGGAAGCTACCAAAGCAAAAGAATTACTTACTCCAAATGACAAAAACACATTCAAGGTGTTTTTGCAAGAATTAGAAATGATATATAATTCGAAGTAGCACCTATTCCCACTGGCCACAGTCTTAGGGCATACAGAGGTCAACCAGTTGGAGTAGCTTCTAAAAACCTCCCTTCCACCTACATATCCTCTCCATTTCACTCAGCGTGAGATGGAGATTTGGAATTCCCTGTCACTCCGAGGAGGCGGAGTGAGGAACCTTCAAGTCCTTGCCTCACGAGGTCAAACAGAAGAGTTAGGAGACTCTCTGGGTCTCTCGAGAAGGGAAGGTACAGGTACTTATGGAAGCAAGCCATCTGTTCTCACCACTAGCATCAGAAACAGGTAGGGCCGATCTTGCCTTAATATGAATAAATGAAAACAGGATTACTTCAGAAAAGTAAGGAAAGAGTTAACTAGCTGAGAATGAGGCACAAGGCAAAAACCAGTCCTACCTTTAAGTGTAGGAATAAACTAAAAATTATAGCAAGACGCTATGGGCCACAAGAGAGGGAAGAGAGTGGCTGTCTGGAACAGTAAGGCTATGATGTGGTTTATCACAGTGTGGACACATAAACAGCTAAGGCGGACCACTGACGGGTATGGGTGTTCCAAGTGATAACGGATACCACGACATTCGGGGTGATGCAGGTCTAGGTTAACAGGGTCTAGGGGGTATCTGTAGGAAAAAGACCTTACTGATGAGTAGAAATAAAGGTTCTGGTGAAAGAAATGGGGCCTTGGATAATATATAACTAGAAGCTGAAGTCATTCTCCCTATGTTCTCCCTAATATTCACCAAGAATATTACCAAGCAAGTAATAGGAGAGAAGATAGTTTCACAGAAAGTCTCTGATAAACTTATCAAAACCCAATTATTTAAAATAGTATCTCAGAAATCTCCACAAAACTACCCAAACTTCAGTGCCTCCCCCCTGCCCTGCCAAAAATCAACCATGGTCCATGTCTTTACTTACCAGTCTTAAAATAATTCATAATTGAATCTCTAGTAATTCCTGGAACCTTGCAGGTAGAAAATAACATTCGGAATTGGTTCATGTCTAGAGGAGTATTTCCAGATTTATGTACAGGCAATTTTTCTCTATTAAAAAAGCAGTTTGATTAAAACATCATTGTTAAAACTTGCTCTAGCTACCACAACTACACTCTTCTTCCCCCAGATAACCACGTTCAACTGACAGCATCTGCTCATTTCCCACACTGGGCAAGCCCACAGCCCACCCAGCCTGTGTCGGGGCCCTTAGTGCCTGTCCCTCCTCGGCCCAGCCTGCCCCAGGACCCTTGGCACTCTTACTTTCTTAGCAGCTGCCAGTAGTTCAAGTTGTGCCACAGCAGTATACTTCCCCTTTCTAACTGAGTGCCTTCTCTTGCAGGCCAGTAGTGTTCAAAATGGGGAGACGGACCCACGAAGTTCACATTCAGTTGTGATGGAATACGCACGTCCAGGTAGGCAACATTGAGCCACCACTCTTCCAGCTAAAGGGAATTAAGAACGTTACTTCTTCCAAATGTTCCAATATGTAACTGCTAGCAAGACAGCATGCTATATGTGTCCTTTATCCTTTCAGTTCAAAACCACATTTTAAGTCATCACGGATAATGAAAATCGCTGCTCCAACAGCCTCCCTCCCTTCTCTCCTCTCCCTTTTGGAACTATTAACTCCTAAACGCTAGTTATCTGACTCCACTGTCAAACCCTACTATCCAACTTTCCTTATGAGCCCACACACTAGGTGAGTCCTAGAGTATAACAAATATTCACTGAAGCACACTTAATAACAGTAATTAAGTAAGCTGTTTATAATGCTCCTTTACCAAACACAAATAAATAAACAAATAAATAAAACAAAACCCCCTAAAATTCTACTTAGAAATGCAAGACACTTCAAACTAATTTACACTTTTCTCTGACACCCTTTTTTATGTGTCCCGTGTCACAGCAAGTAACTGAATTTCTTATCTAAGTAAGCTGATAGTATCAGGTTACCTGGCATTCATTTCTTTTCTTTTTTTTTTTTTAACTGATGGTACAAACTACAGTTAGTCACCCAGAAAAAGACATGCTTCTTTACCTTTATCCCCATTTTAATTAAAATCTCCTCAAAATTCAGAATAGAGGAATTTGGAAGCAAATTATTTTTTTCATCATAAAGATCAATGTCTCAATGAAAACATCAGACATTTTTTTCTCTTTAAAATTGTAAGTCACCATCATTATTTTTCAACTAAGGCAATGCTTTCTAACTGAAACATCACCCTTTCATTCATGTACTGGAGAAGTGGTCAAGTTAAAGGAGTCAGGAAGGATGCTGCGGGGATCGGAGATTAGGCAGTGAGAGCAGCTTCTTCGGTCTATCTACTTGAGCTACAGAGCATGTCCAACCACTTCCCACCTCTCCCATGTTCTGTTTAGATATGCTATGCCACCTGTGTGACACGTCTGCTTTAGTGTTTGAGGATTCTGTCAGGCTACAGTGGCCTGGAAGGCCATTTCTAGCAAACACAGTCTGTTGATCACCTGCATGAGAACCACATGGATGGGTGAGGAAAACGGAGAGCTTACCCAGCATGTGTTACTCTTGATCCTAAGACAATACTGATCAACACATACACCACACAGAGGAATTAAAAGAAAGGATTCTGGCTCCATTATGGACTTACTGAGTCAGAAACTACTGATTCCAGGAAACTTCCATTTTAACATGCTCTCAGGAAAGAGAAAATCTCACTTATAAAATGAATGCTTTCCAGTTAAGTGAGTCATGCTGTTGTGACCATAATGACAATGACCTCAGGCATTTTATAGCAATGATTTAAACATAAAGCCACACACACTTTAAGTTCTTCTTTAAATATCAGGTTTTCAATTTAAGTACACAAATAAATACCCAGTTTCTTTTTCCTTTAGCCCTTTCAAGTAACTTCTGATGCAATATTTTGCCAACTCCATCTTGAAACTTTTGAACTATTTCTTCAGTTTTCTTATACTCTTCTTCATTTGCAAATGGCTTCACTATAAAAAAAAGTGATTAGACTTAAGTGTCCCCATATCACCTCAGCCATTCTTATATAAATCTAAACATTACTAGCACACAATAAGGTTTTAGTTTGCAATAAAAACTGCAATGCAAAATATTGTTTTTTTAAAAAAGAAATAAAATAGTAGATACTGTAATAATGCAGTCACAATATTCTGAAATTATCCCCAAATTATTCTATCTGACAGTTAAAGAGGTTAAGCTATCATCTAGCTGGTACTGCAGTAGAAAGTAAGTCCTATGTAACCACACATAAGAGAAATTACAGCATTTTCCACAAATCTTTATGAAAATCAATTGTTTTGAAAATTAGTTTGTTAGAAATCAAATTAATATATTCTTTTTGTTTTATATTTGCTTCTCTAAAATCTGAACTAGCACAATGTGTAATCCATTATAAAATATCTGTTTTCAGAGAGAATAAGTGAATACTCAAAAAATATTCAGTAATCTGAAATTTTAAAATAAACTACTATAATAAATAGGTTTTTTATTTTTTTAAAAAAAGGTATTTGAAAAGCAAAACAAAATAGGGCTTAGATGATAGCTACGTTTTAGCATAAGGACCTGGGTTTGACCCCTGGAAAGAATGTTAAAAATCAACAAACAAACAAATAGCACAGAACAGAGGCAAGCAGGTATACACCACCCAAAAAGTAGAGTAAAAAATAAAAAGGTATAACATATATGCACATGCACACACACCTGCTTCCAGTTCAGCCAGGGAACCAAACATATTTATCTCCACCCCTTCTAGAAACCCACTAAAATGACAATAAAGTGAATTTTAAAAGGAGAGCAGGGACATGAGAGAGCTCAGCAGTTAAGAGCACTGGCTGCTCTTCAAGGGTCCTGAGTTCAATTCCCACCAACCACATGGTGGCTCACAGCCATCTGTAATGGAATCTGATGCCCTCTTCTGGTATTTTAGATGGACATAAAGGCAAAGCACTCATATACATAAAACACACTTAAAAAATAAATCTAAAAAGAACAAGGAGGGAGTGTAATCTACGAGACAGACAGACAGGGGGACAGCAAGGGGCCAAAAAACAGAAAACATCAGACAAATTAAGGTAACATTTCACAAATCTAGGAAACACTGTGAGGCAGATACAGTGGCAAGTCTGTAGAGCCCCAGCCTGAGGTGGGAGAAGTTCAAGGCCAGCCTGGGCAACATACTGGGACCCTGGTTCAAAAACCCCAAAGCAGCCAGGCAGTGGTGGTGCATGCCTTTAATCCCAGCACTTTGGAGGCAGAGGCAAGATTTCCGAGTCCGAGGCCAGCCTGGTCTACAGAGTGAGTTCCAGGATAGCCAAGGCTACACAGAGAAACCCTGTCTCAAAAAAAAAAAGAAAGAAAAAGAAAAAAAAAGAAGGAAGGAAGGAAGGAAGGAAGGAAGGAAGGAAGGAAGGAAGGAAGGA